GCACTGAAGGTGCCCCAGCAGTGCCAGCACAGGGGACAGGCACTGCCCTGGGCCTGCTGCCACCCCAGAGCTGGCACAGCCAGGGGCCTCTGGCACACCTGGGCACACCCAGGCTGGTGTCCAGCTGCTGGCACAGCACCCCCAGGGCCTTTCCCAGCTGGTTTTGGGTGTTTGGGGATGCCCTGGCAGCTGCTCCCATGCCCATTTCCATGCACATTCCCTCTCCCATGCCCATTCCGGGGCTGCTCATGCCCTCTGCTGGCCCCCAGCCCGTTTCCAGGAGGGGCCAGCAGAGCCCCGCGGGAATTCAGGTGGGATGGGGAATTCAGGTGGGCAGGAGATTCAGGTGGGCAAGGGAATGAATTCAGGTGGGAGGGGAATTAATTCAGGTGGGCAGGGAATTAATTCAGGTGGGCAGGGAATGAATTCAGGTGGGCTGGGAATGAATTCAGGTGGGCAGGGAATTGATTCAGGTGGGCAGGGAATGAATTCAGGTGGGCAGGGATGGGGACATCACTCCTGAGAGCCAAACCCCCTCCCAGGGCCATGGGACAAACAAACCCTTCCCTGACCCAGGGACGGGGCACCTGAGGCGTTTAAAAACCTTTGTTCCATTCTCAGCCTCATCTCTCTAAGGCACAAAGTAAAATATTATCAGCTCATTCTGTAAGTAAAAACTTGTCAGCTCTTACCCCAGCACACACGAACACCCCAAAGCCAATCACCTGCAATTGCCCCTCGTGGCTCCTGACACAGCCTCCAGTTCTATTTCACACTTCTGTTTCTCCAAAATGTCTAGTTTTATTTGTCAGCTGGGTCCACGTCCCTGCACTTCATGGCATCCCCTGCCTTTGGATGGTTTTCATTTTGGTCAAATTTTTAATTTTTTTTTTTCAGTATCCATGCCATTTCATTCATATCTTCCCCTCAGTGTTCTGTCTTCCTCCTTGTTTTTTCCTCCTAATTTTGCAGTATCTGTCAGGCTGGTTTTGCCATGTTTTGGTCCTTTTCACTCATTTCCTCCCAGACCAATCCCTTGGAGTCACTGAACTGCCAAAGTTCCTTTTTTTTTTTCAGTTTCATTTCATTGATCCTATCTCCTTTCCAGAGCAAGCCTTTCTTTTGTGTTTTCAAGATTTCATTTCCTTTCCTGAAAGGAGATTTCTTCTTTGAAACTTATTTCTATTTCCATTTCTCTCCCAACAGTATCTTTCCTGTTCCATAGGATTTCCAAGTCAACATTTCTCATTTTGAAGTTGACATACAAACACATACACAGATGTATGTAGGGATGTATAGACACATCCTATATGAATGAAATGAATTATAAATATGAAATTTTCCACAACTCCATTTCCCACACTCCAGTGCTGTTCTCATCCCATGGAAACCCTTCCCAAGGGATGCCAGAGGGACAGAAATCCCAAATATTGCATTACTGACAGCAGGGAGGGGTCCAGCTCCCAGCCCAGGATGGGTGAGCCTGGAATTCCCAGTGCCACCTTGCCCAGGTGGCACAGAGCAGCCCAAATTAACCCTTTCTAGTCCTCTGCCTCCTGCTGTGGGTGAGACTCCTCCCTGCCCGAGGCTCCTCAGTGAAACCCAAACTGAAACAGCCCAAAAAAGAACTTTTGGGGAGTGTTTCAAGGTTTGCACCCCTCCAACAGGCCCCAACGAGCAGCAAAACCACTCCTTAAAAACAGGTTTTTACCTGAGCTTGTCCATAGAAAATCCCTATGGTGACAGATTTTAATTTATTTTATCACTGTGTTAAATCTATAGAGGTATATAAAATATCTCAGTGCTATGTGCAGCAAAAAATGACCAAAGGTACCTCAGAACTTTGGGAAAAAGAAGCTATAAGTATGTAAATAATAATAATAATAATAATAATAATAATAACAACAACTATTATTATTTATAGTGTAAATAATATATATTGTATGTGTGCATATATATGTATATATACATATATGTACATATATATTGTATTGTATGTATATATAATATGTAAATAATATATGAATATGTATGTAAATATAATCTACTGTATAGGAAAAAATGACCAATGGTACCTCAGAATTTCAGGAAAAAGAAGCTATAAGTATGTAAATAATAATAATATATATTTTTAATATTTTTATATATAATGTAAATAATAGATCTATTGTATGTGTGCATATATATGTATAAATACATATATATGTATATATAATATGAAAATAATATATAAATATGTATGCAAATATAATCTACTGTATATATATGTATGTACCTATTGTATGCATATATATATGTAATAATATTAACAATATAGTAATATTTATGATATTAATATAAATAATACTGTTTACTATTAACAATGTAGTAATATTTATGTAAATAGTGTTACCAATAAGTATATTGATCATATTTATCATAACTGTGGAGATATTTATTACTGAGCTCATTCTGGGTCACAAACACTGAAAACCCACCAGGGAAGGCTGAATGAGGGTGAAAAGCCAGCAAAGAACATTTCTTGTTTTGCTGCAGAGCAGCAGCCCCTTCACCCAGGAACTCTGCAGAGTGAGCTCACAGGGGCTCACACAGGCCAAACACAAAATAAGGAATTTTTTATAATTTAAAAATTTAAATTTTCACAAAATTGACGTGAACGACTTGGAGAAGTTAAAATAAAATATTAAAAGGATGGCACTGGATGAGCTTGAATGTCCCTCCCCACCCAAAGCATTGCAGGTTTCCATCATTTACACCTCTCTTTGTATCAAAAATCCCAGCCTGGATTTCTATGTTTTTAAGGGAATAATAACCTCCTGTTAGGTGGGATTAAACATTCCAGAAGTTTATTACCCACAAATTATAAAAAGGACAACAGAATTTTCCTTGGCCCCCCAACTCCTGCCTGCTCTTCAGCCCAATTTCCTAAATGAAACAGTGATGCTCTAATGACTCTTCCTTCTGAAGAAAACTATTAACTATAATCCTATCATCATCTGAATTCTCTTTGAATCAGGGGAAGGTTGGGCTTATCTTGTGCCATAAAATGGGTTTTTCTCCATAAAATTGCCTGCAATTCCTTGAGCTGTGGTGATCATCCTGCCATCAAACTGCACTTTACTGCTCAGGTCCCTCCTGTGAGGCTTCTCAATTTAGAGTTCTGCAGAAATATATTTACAGATGGTGGGAGAAGGAGAGAAAAATGCAGCAATTGTGCCATTCTCTAGAGATGCCCCTGGATAAAGTCCTGCCAGAGCAGCACTCAGGGTCACTGGCTGGTTTTTCTGGGAGGAGCAGCCCCTACAACAGTGGAATTCCAGAAGCCCAGGGGGTGGGAAAGCCCTCAGGACCACCCAGTCCCAGCTGTGCCCATCCCCACCTTGTCCCCAGCCCAGGGCACCGAGTGCCACCTCCAGGAACTCCTGGGGCACCCCCAGGGCTGGGCACTGCCACCCTCCCTGTGCCCTCTGCCCCATCCTGGGCTGTTCCCTGGGCTTGGTGTGACCCCGGTGCAGGACCCAGCTCTTGGCCTTGCTGTCCCCCAGCCCAGTGGCCCCAGCCCATGGATCCAGGCTGTCCTGGTCCCTCTGCAGATCCACATGCCACCCCGGGGGCTGTCCCTGAGCTGAGCCAGGCTGGTGCCCCCCATGCCCTGGAGGTGTTGGGCAGCCCCTGGTGCCCAGCTGGATGTGCCTCCATGCCAGCTTTGGCAGCCAGGAATAAACAACAAACCCACCCCAGTTCCCTGTTCACAGCCTTTGGGGTTTGGAAAAGCCCCTGGAGCAGCTCTGCTCCAGACCCTGAACGTGCCTGAGGGAATCAGGAGAGGCTGCTCTGCATCCAGGTACTGAGGGGGAACATCCTCAGCAGGAGGAACATCCTCAGCAGGAGGAACATCCAGGTACCCAGTGCCCCTGGATAAAGTCCTGCCAGAGCAGCACTCAGGGTCACTGGCTGGTTTTTCTGGGAGGAGCAGCCCCTACAACAGTGGAATTCCAGAAGCCCAGGGGGTGGGAAAGCCCTCAGGACCACCCAGTCCCAGCTGTGCCCATCCCCACCTTGTCCCCAGCCCAGGGCACCGAGTGCCACCTCCAGGAACTCCTGGGGCACCCCCAGGGCTGGGCACTGCCACCCTCCCTGTGCCCTCTGCCCCATCCTGGGCTGTTCCCTGGGCTTGGTGTGACCCCGGTGCAGGACCCAGCTCTTGGCCTTGCTGTCCCCCAGCCCAGTGGCCCCAGCCCATGGATCCAGGCTGTCCTGGTCCCTCTGCAGATCCACATGCCACCCCGGGGGCTGTCCCTGAGCTGAGCCAGGCTGGTGCCCCCCATGCCCTGGAGGTGTTGGGCAGCCCCTGGTGCCCAGCTGGATGTGCCTCCATGCCAGCTTTGGCAGCCAGGAATAAACAACAAACCCACCCCAGTTCCCTGTTCACAGCCTTTGGGGTTTGGAAAAGCCCCTGGAGCAGCTCTGCTCCAGACCCTGAACGTGCCTGAGGGAATCAGGAGAGGCTGCTCTGCATCCAGGTACTGAGGGGGAACAGCCTCACCCAGGAGGAACAGCCTCACCCTCAGGAGGAACATCCTCACCCTAGGAATGTTCCTGCCCAAGAGAAGCCCTTACCCAGGAGCAGTGCCCTGCCCAGGAGTGCCCCTTACCCAGGAGGAGCACCCTTACCAGGAGAAGCCCTTACCCAGGAGCAGTGACCTCACACCCAGGAGGAGTGATCCTGTCCATGAGAAGCCCTTACCCAGGAGGAATGCCCTGCCCAGGAGCAGTGCCCTGACCCAGGAGTGCCCCTTACCCAGGAGCAGTGGCCTCACCCCCAGGAGTGCCCTGGCCAGGAGGAATGCCCAGTCCTAGGAGCAGTGCCCTGCCCAGGAGAAGCCCTTACCTAGGAGGAGTGCCCCTTATCCAGGCCCTTACCCAAGAGTGCCCTTGACCCAGGAGCAGTGGCCTGACCCCCAGGAGGAATGTTCCTGCCCAGGAGGAATGTTCCTGCCCAAGAGAAGCCCTTGCCCAGGAGGAATGCTCTGCCCAGGAGTGCCCCTTACCCAGGAGCAGTGCCCTGACCCAGGAGGAAGCCCTGACCTAGGAGGAGTGCCGTGCCCTGGAGGAAGACCTAACCCAAGAGTGCCCTGCCCAGGAGCAATGCCCCTTACCCAGGAGTGCCCTTACCCAGGAGTGCCCCTTACCCAGGAGCAGTGCCCTTACCCAGGAGGAATGCCCTGACCAGTAGGAGTGCCCTGCCCAGGAGCAGTGCCCTGCCCAGCAGTGCCCTTACCCAGCAGTGCCCTTACCCAGGAGCAGTGCCCTGCCCAGCAGTGCCCTTACCCAGGAGGAGTGCTCCTTCATCTGGTGCTGGTTGCTGTGGGGCAGTGCCCTTACCCCCCTTACCCAGGAGGAGTGCTCCTTCATCTGGTGCTGGTTGCTGTGGGGGCCGCTGGCGTGGCCCCTCCAGAAGCAGCTCTGGCACAGCTGGTAGTTGTGGCACTGCTGGCACCGGTACCTGAAGCCCATCATGCTCTCACAGTGGCAGTACGAGCACTCCACGGGGTGGAAGACTGGCAGGAAAACAAAGAAAATGGATTTTTGGTGAACCTGGAAGATCTCATTTCACTGCAGCTTCCAGACCCCCCCAGCTCCTCCAGCACCCGGGGCTTGGGCAGGGTTTTGGGGGCAGAGCTGGCAATTTTGGTCCCATTAACCCTCAGATGAAGCTGATGGTGGCACAGCAGTTCCAGCTGACAGGTTCTCCCAATGTTCTTTCTCAAAATATTCCTTCTCCCAATATTCCTTCTGCAGGCATCTCCCTCCCTGGGCACACTCAGGGAAGTGCTGAGCTCAGGGGGAGTCTGTGCACTGTCCCAGGGTGTGCCAGTGTCCAGCCTGGCCTTGGCACTGCCAGGGATGCAGGGGCAGCCCCAGCTGTGCCAGCCCTGCCCACCCTGCCAGGGAACAATTCCTCATTGCCAATCTCCCACCCAGCCCTGCCCTCTGGCACTGGGAGCCATTCCCTGTGCCCTGTCCCTCCAGCCTTGTCCCCAGTCCCTCTGCAGCTCTCCTGGAGCCCCTCCAGGCCCTGCCAGGGGCTCTGAGCTCTGCCTGGATCCTTCTCCTCTCCAGGTGAGCCCCCCCAGCTCTGCCAGCCTGATCCACGAGAAGTGCTCCCCCACCCTGTCAGAGCTGTCCCCTCCCCTCCCTGGCTCCGTGCAGGCAGCAGAGATTGCTGCTGATGAAAGGGCACAGAGGCAGCACAGAGCCCAACCCTGATTTCCTGATGAGGGAAGGAATAATAACCCCAGCCCTGATGGGAAGGAATAATAACCCCAACCCTGATTTCCTGATCAGGGAAGGAATAATAACCCCAGCCCTGATTTCCTGCTCAGGGAAGGAATAATAACCCCAACCCTGATTTCCTGAAGAGGGAAGCAATAACAACACTGATAACAGAGACCACGAGGCACAGCAGGGACAGGGACAGGGACAGGGACAGGGACAGGGACAGGGACAGGGACAGCACTCCCTGTCCTGCACAGGGCACAGCCTCACAGTGATGGATAAGGACAAGATTGGAACAGCCAGGATCAGGGATTATTAAATCAGGAGCAGCAAGATGGGAACAAAAGAGGAGGCAGCTGTTTTGGTTACCTACAGGGTTTTTTTGTCTGTCATGCTTTGGGTTTTTTGGTTGTTTTGTTGGGTTTTTGTTGTGGTTTTCATTTTCTGTTGTTGCTTTACTGGGTTTTGTTTGTTTAGGTTTTTGTGGGGTTGGTTTGTTTAGGATTGTGTTTGTGGGGTTTTTCTTGTGGTGCTATTTCTGTTTGTTTTGATTTTTCTCCAAGGGCCAAAGTTTAGCTTTGGGTAGGACAGAGCCCAGTGAGGGGGAGCAGCCCAGCTGGTCCCCTCCTGCTCCTGGCTGCTGCCAGGGAATGCCAGGGTCACACCAGGGTCCCTTTTGCCCTGGAGTTACCAATATTTTAACCAGATCCACCTCCTGGGCATGACTTCCCACAGGACTTGACCCTGGGAAATTGCCACATGCCAGGGAATGCCAGGGTCACACCAGGGTCCCCTTTGCCCTGGAGTTACCAACATTTTAACCAGATCCACCTCCTCACCTCCTGGGCGTGACTTCCCACAGGACTTCACCCTGGGAAAATGCCACCTCAAAATGAATTTTAAAATCCCAGGATCCCCCCCTGAGCCTCCTTTGCTCCTTTCCAGCTCCCTCAGACTCAGGAATATTTCGAGAATGTAATTTTTTTCCTACTAACTAAAACCCATGGGGTTTGCAGTGCTGCTGCTTTCCCTCCCAGGCAGCCCCACGTCCCCAGCACACTGTGACCCCTCCAGCTGCTCTGGCCAGCACTGATGGAGGCACAAGGTGCTGGTAACGTCAGCAAGGACAGGACATTCCCACTGTGTGAATGCTGCATTTACCATTTTCAATTTCCCATTTTCAATTTCCCATTTTCAATTTCCCATTTTCAATTTCCCATTTTCAATTTTTACCATTTTCAATTTCCCATTTTCAATTTACCATTTTCAATTTCCCATTTTCAATTTTTACCATTTTCAATTTCCCATTTTCAATTTCCCATTTCAATTTCCCATTTTCAATTTCCCATTTTCAATTTCCCATTTTCAATTTTTCCCATTTTCAATTTCCCATTTTCAATTTCCCATTTTCAATTTTTCCCATTTTCAATTTCCCATTTTCAATTTTTCCCATTTTCAATTTCCCATTTTCAATTTTTCCCATTTTCAATTTCCCATTTTCAATTTTTACCATTTTCAATTTCCCATTTCAATTTCCCATTTCAATTTCCCATTTTCAATTTCCCATTTCAATTTACCATTCTCCACGTGGGCCAGTCTGTGCATGAGGGGCAGCCACACAAGGCACTGGGGAGGAGGGTCGGCCATCAGCGTGTCCAGGAACATGTTCAGCATCACCTTCTTCTGCAGGGAGAGCACAGGCAGCACGGAGAGGAGCTGAGCTGCATTTCCCACTGCCAGGCCTTCTCCATTTCTGCCTGCCAGGGACGTTGCTGGAATGCCAGCCAGGGAACAGGGAAGGGCTGGGGTGGGAAGGGACCTCAACCACCCCCAGTGCCACCCCTGCCATGGCAGGGCCACTGCCACTGCCCCTGGGTCCCTGGCAGTGCCCAAGGCCAGGCTGGGCATTGGGAGCACCCTGGGACAATGGGAATTGTCCCTGCCATGGCAGGGATGCTGCCACTGGGTGGGATTTAAGCTCCCTCCCAACCCAAATCACTCTGGGATTCTTTTCAATTTCCCATTTCAATTCCCATTTTCAATTTCCCATTTTCAATTTCCCATTTCAATTTACCATTCTCCACGTGGGCCAGTCTGTGCATGAGGGGCAGCCACACAAGGCACTGGGGAGGAGGGTCGGCCATCAGCGTGTCCAGGAACATGTTCAGCATCACCTTCTTCTGCAGGGAGAGCACAGGCAGCACGGAGAGGAGCTGAGCTGCATTTCCCACTGCCAGGCCTTCTCCATTTCTGCCTGCCAGGGACGTTGCTGGAATGCCAGCCAGGGAACAGGGAAGGGCTGGGGTGGGAAGGGACCTCAACCACCCCCAGTGCCACCCCTGCCATGGCAGGGCCACTGCCACTGCCCCTGGGTCCCTGGCAGTGCCCAAGGCCAGGCTGGGCATTGGGAGCACCCTGGGACAATGGGAATTGTCCCTGCCATGGCAGGGATGCTGCCACTGGGTGGGATTTAAGCTCCCTCCCAACCCAAATCACTCTGGGATTCTGAAAACATTTTTGATGAGAGGAGTTTGCACTTTTTAAATCCCAGTGCCCAGCCTGGCCTTGGGCACTGCCAGGGATGCAGGGGCAGCCCCAGCTGTGCCAGCCCTGCCCACCCTGCCAGGGAACAATTCCCCATTGCCAATCTCCAATATAAATCTGGAGCCTCACTGATTCTGAAACCAAAGGCTGTTTCCTACTGTGCCATACTCCAAACATGCTAATTGCCAATTAACTTCTATTTAGCCACTATAAATCTTACATCAAATGCTGCAGAACTGTTTCTGCTGCAGCATCGTCATGCCCAGAGTCCAAACATTTCATTTCAGGCCTAAGATCAATCAAGGCCATGGTTACAGTTGATTGAAGGATTAGTTCAATCCTGATTAATATTATTTACATTACCTCAAACGAGAAACGAATCATTGGAACAATTAAAACACAACTGCAATGGATTTAAAAATAACCTGGTGCACAGAAGGTGTTTATTTGGAACAGAGCCTGACTTGTTAAACTAATTGTCTTAACACAGTGAAAAAACTCTGAAAAATCAAGGGGAAATGGTAAAAATGGCATGGTTTATGTTTTGGGAAAGAAATGAGTCACCCCTGGTGTGCTGATGGGGAACAGGGGAGGCCCCTGGAGGAGGGGAATCAGCTGAAATGACAGAAAATCCTTCAGCTGCCAATCTGGGACTGTTTCACAGTGTTGGGTTGTACAGGGGCCAAATCCTGAATTCCAGATCCCAAATCCCAAGACCCCAGATGCCAGATCCCAAACCCTCGATCCCAGATTGCAAATCCTGAATCCCAAATCCCAAATCCTAGATTTCAGATCCTAGATCCATAATCCTTGACCTCAGATCCCTGATCCCAGATCCCTGAGCCCAAATCCTGAATCCCAGATCCCAAATCCTGAATTCCAGATCCCACATTCCAAATCCTGAATTCCAGATCCCAAATCCCAAGACCCCAGATGCCAGATCCCAAACCCTCGATCCCAGATTGCAAATCCTGAATCCTAAATCCTAGATTTCAGATCCTAGATCCATAATCCTTGACCTCAGATCCCTGATCCCAGATCCCTGAGCCCAAATCCTGAATCCCCAATCCAAAACCCCTAATCCCTGATCCCAGATCCCTGACTGCAAATCCTGAATCCCAAATCCAGAATCCCAGATCCCCAATCCCAGACCCCAAATCCCAGACCCCAAATCCCTGATCCCCCATCTCCAAATCCCAGACCCCCAATCCCAAATCCCAGGCCCCAAATCCCCAATCCCAGAGCCCAATCCTAAATCCCCAATCGCAATCTCCAATCCCAAACCCCAAATCCCCAATCCCAGACCCCAATCCCAGACCCCAAATCCCCAATCCCAGACCCTGATCCCCAATCCCCGACCCCCCAATCCCAGACTCCAAACCCCAAAGCCCAGACCCCGATGCCAGAGCCCAGACCCCAATCCCCAATCCCAGACTCCAAACCCCAAAGCCCAGACCCCGATGCCAGAGCCCAGACCCCAATCCCCAATCCCAGACTCCAAACCCCAAAGCCCAGACCCCGATGCCAGAGCCCAGACCCCAATCCCCAATCCCAGACTCCCAATCCCAGAGCCCAGCCCCCAATCCCCAATCCCAATCCCCAATCCCAAACCCCCGAGCCGCTCCCCGCCCTGACCTGCTGGGGGAAGCAGGAGCGCAGCGAGTGCTCGGTGTAGCCGAAGGAGGGCCCCTCGAACACGGCCGTGGGCAGCCTCAGCACCTCCCGCAGCAGCTGCTCGAACCTGGGGAACAGCAGCAGCCCCGTGCAATCTGAGATCTGAGAGAAAAGATCTGTAAGGAAATACAATAAACCCCCGGGTAAATATGGGATTGCTGCGGGACGGCTCCCCTGCACCCCGCGGGCTCCCGGGGTTTATCCAGGGCAGGAACCCCAATCCCTGTCCTGCACCCTGGGGATTTACCGGGGCAGGAACCCCAATCCCTGTTCCTGCACCCCGCGGGCTCCCGGGGGTTTACCGGGGCAGGAACCCAAATCCCTGTCCTGCACCCCGGGGATTTACCGGGGATTTACCGGGGCAGGAACCCCAATCCCTGTTCCTGCACCCCGCGGGCTCCCGGGGGTTTACCGGGGCAGGAACCCAAATCCCTGTTCCTGCACCCCGAGGGGCTCCCTGGGCTGTGCTGCCAGGGCAGGATTTATCCAGGGCAGGAACCCCAATCCCTGTTCCTGCACCCCGAGGGGCTCCCCGGGGTTTATACAGGGCAGGAACCCCAATCCCTGTTCCTGCACCCCGAGGGGCTCCCTGGGCTGTGCTGCCAGGGCAGGATTTATCCAGGGCAGGAACCCAAATCCCTTTTCCTGCACCCCGAGGGCTCCCCTGGGATTTATCCAGGACAGGATTTATCCAGGGCAGGAACCCCAATCCCTGTTCCCACACCCCGAGGGGCTCCCCGGGGGTTTATCCAGGGCAGGAACCCCAATCCCTGTTCCTGCACCCCGAGGGCTCCCTGGGGATTTATCCAGGACAGGAACCCCAAATCCCTGTTCCTGCACCTCAAGGGGTTCCCTGAGCTGTGCTGCTCCAGGACAGGATTTATCCGGGGCAGGAACCCCAATCCCTGTTCCTGCACCCCAAGGGCTCCCCGGGTATTTATCCAGGGCAGGAACCCAAATCCCTGTTCCTGCACCCCGAGGCCAGGACAGGATTTATCCAGGACAGGATTTATCCAGGACAGGATTTATCCAGGACAGGATTTATCCAGGACAGGATTTATCCAGGACAGGATTCATCCAGGACAGGATTTATCCAGGACAGGATTTATCCAGGACAGGATTTATCCAGGACAGGATTCATCCAGGGCAGGATTCATCCAGGACAGGATTTATCCAGGACAGGATTTATCCAGGACAGGATTTATCCAGGACAGGATTTATCCAGGGCAGGGCTCCCAATCCTTTTCCTCCACCCCACTCCAGCCCAGGCAGGGCAGGGGAAGCTCCTGCCATGCCCAGCTGGGACAGACAGGGAGAGCAGGAGAATTCCAGGGGAACACAGCTGGAACCTTGTTATGTTTCTTTTTTCTTGGGCCAGGTCTCATAAGGCCTCAAAAGAAATACAATACACCTGAGGATAGCTCAGCTATTACTTTAGGGGCATAAAATGAGCAGGATGACTTCTGCTGCAGTGTTAGAAACAAAAAAGGTTTAATAAAAGGCAAAATAACAACCAGAAAAACCCGAGCCAGGTGCAGAGGTCTGCTCCTGGTAAAAACACCTCACCAAATCCCTTTGCTCTTTGATTCTCCTCTTTTCTACCTGATGGTTCAGGGACGTTTTGCCTTCTATCCAATTAGATATCCTCAGGTTTTTGGTGAAGTCCCTGAGCTCCTATGAGGTGGCTTTTCACCTAATGGTCGAGAGACACTTCTGGGCTTCTTTCCTTTTCTGGGGGACAAAGGCCAGTTTTGTCACTGTGTCATTAGGGGACACAGTCCTACAGAACCTGACCCTACAGAAAGCCCCAGAGGAGGCTCCGGGGTGGAACACAGCTCCAACACTGGCACAGCTGGCACAGCTGCAGGGGAATGCACACTGAGGGCACGGGCATGGCAGGGGCACAGCAGCCAGGATCCTGGGGCTGGAAAATCCCAACCTGTGCCCAGTGCCCACCTTATCCCAGCCCAGGGCACTCAGTGCCACATCCAGGTGACACCTGCAGGGATGGGCACTGCCACCCTCCCTGGGCAGCCCCTGCCAAGGCCTGAGCACCCTTTCCATGGGCAAATTCCTCCTGGTGCCCACCCTGAGCCTGCCCTGGCCCAGCCTGAGGCCATTTCCCCTTGTCCTGTCCCTGGTCCCTGGCAGCAGAGCCCGACCCCCCCTGGCTGTCCCCTCCTGGCAGGGAGTTGTGCAGAGCCACAAGGTCCCCCCTGAGCCTCCTTTTCTCCAGGCTGAGCCCCTTCCCAGCTCCCTCAGCCTCTGCTGGGGCTCCATTCCCTTCCCAGCTCCCTCAGCCTCTCCTGGGGCTCCATTCCCTCCCCAGCTCCCTCAGCCTCTGCTGGGGCTCCATTCCCTTCCCAGCTTTGCCAGGAGCCATTGGAAGCTGAGGGCACTGATCTCATCCACAGGAACAGCTGGGAAGGGGAATCAGATCCCATTTTGGATCTCAGATCTTGGCAATGAGGAATTGTTCCCTGGCAGGGTGGGCAGGGCTGGCACAGGGTACCCAGAGCAGCTGGGGCTGCCCCTGGATCCCTGGCAGTGCCCAAGGCCAGGCTGGACACTGGGAGCACCTGGGGCAGTGGCAGTGCCCCTGCCATGGCAGGGGTGGAATGGGGATTTAATGGGGTTGGATTTAATGAGGTTGGATTTAATGGGGTGAGATTTAATGGGGTGGTATTCAATGGGGTGGGATTTAAGGTCCCTTCCAGCCCAAACAGTGGCAGTGCCCCTGCCATGGCAGGGGTGGAATGGGGATTTAATGGGGTTGGATTTAATGAGGTTGGATTTAATGGGGTGAGATTTAATGGGGTGAGATTTAATGGGGTTGGATTTAATGGGGTTGGATTTAATGGGGTTGGATTTAATGGGGTTGGATTCAATGGGCTGGGATTTAAGGTCCCTTCCAGCCCAAACCATTCTGGGATTTTGGGAGCATTTGTCATGAGAGGAGTTCACACTTTTTACGCAGCCCTGTGGGGACAAACGTGCTCCTGAGAGCAAACAGGGGCTGAGCAGATGTTCCCTGATGTTTGTAGGGATGGAAGGAGAAGAGGGAGGTGCTGCAGGTGCCCCACTGCCTGTCCCTGCTCCTCCCTGAGCCCTGGGGGTCCCTGATCCCCTCCCCAGAGCTGCAGCCCCCAGCAAAGGCCGGTCCCAGGGGCAGGATGCAGAGAGCACGACAGCAGGACAAAATCCAGGTAAACAGCACTGCCTGGGCTCCAGAATCTCCTTGGAGAGATCTCTCACATCCTGCTGGGCCTGAGGCACAGCCAGAGTCAGGGCATGCTCCACAGGGGGGTCTGCAATGGAAACACAGCCTAGAATTCCCCAGGATGTGACAGACCCCACATCTCCTCCGTGGCACTGAACCCTCCTGCTGTTATTTCAGGCACCAGCAGGAATTAAACATCAAAAAGCTCATGCTGGCAGAAAACAACCTTCATTTCAGTGATCAAAACCAGCTTCAGACAAAAAGACACTTTCAGAAAGGCACATTTCCAGTGAACTGGAGGAGTTATCCCAATTTCCTGAAAGAATGAGCTCAGGAAGAGGCCTGCAATGCCTTAGCTCAGAGGGATAAAATACCTGGAATCTGTATCACTGACTGAACAGAGCAGCTTGGACTGAAGGGCTCTTGAATAATGTTATAAAAGAAAACATATTAGGAGAAATTGAGGGGGGAAATATATTTGAAGTGGTGGATTTGTGTATTTTAGGAAAATAAGCCAGCCAGAAAAATTAGACTTAACCTAGAAACTGAAGAAAAGTCAGGATGAAAATGAACATAAAATGAAAACAATGGGAACAACTGAAACCAGAGAGCCAAAATTCCAGAATCCTTGTCCTTTCTGGAGCAGGATCCTGTGCACAGGAGCTGCAGGTCTGCAGTGAAGCTGGCAGGGTGGGAAGGGCAGGACACAACAGGGACAGGACACAGTTGTGTTTAAAATGGGCTGAAAGCTCCTGGGTGTGCTCAGGACACTCAGCTGAGCTGAGCAGGCAGCAGCAGTGAGGTGATCCTGAAGAGAGAGAAATTCAAGGCATGGGAATCTGAAAATGAGAGAGAACAGCCCAGGCTGTGCCCAGGGGAAATGAAAAACCCCTCCAGTGTTTGTCTTGCAGGGTAAAAAGTGGGTTTGTTGTCAAGGTGGGAAAGTTCCACATGGGGAAGTGGCAGTGAAACTGGAGATGATGAAAAGCAGGATATAATAAATAAAAATAAATAAATAAAAATTTAAAAAATAAAAATAAAAATAAATAAATAAATAAAAAGCATCATAACCTTTCAAAGGGCAGCTGGTGGCAGGATGAGAGGGAGCAGCCTCAGGCTGGACATCAGGAGGAATTCCCCACGGAAAAGGTGCTCAGGCCTTGGAGGTTTGGAGTGCCCAGCCCTGGAGGTGGCACCCAGGGCCCTGGGGACAAGGTGGGCACTGGGCACAGCTGGCACTGGAGGGGCTGGGAGGGATTCCAGCCCCAGGGATGCTGGGATCCCTGCCCTGCACAGCCCCACAAGGAGCTGCTCTGCAAGGAGAGAACATCCCAGGAAATTCCAGAGCCAGGGAAGGGCCCCACTGAAGCTCCCCCAGTCCCTCTGTGCCACTCCAGGACACTGTCCTGTCCCCATCACTCACAGGGACCACGGGATGAGAACATTAAAAACAACTCCCAGGATTGGCAGGAGCCTGCTCAGGGAAGGGAGGCTGGGCTGGGATCTTCTGGACAAGGAGGTTTTGGGGGTGAAGAGGGTCAGTAATCAGGGACAGATGTGGGGAATGGATTTGTAAAGAATAAAACAAAACTAGATGTTTTATAGAATCAGAACTGTGAAAAATACATTGCAGCAAGACAATGTGGAGAAAAACAGAGGTGATTTGTGTTAGAATAGCAGCACTGTGTGGCAAAAGCTAATAAGCTAAAAACATTTCTAAGGTATTGCAACCAAGAAATGGGCTGGCTTCTGGTGGAATGGCATTGAGTTTTACATCTCTGGTGTCCCACTATTCACCAAGACTGATACTGGAATAAAATCTTTTCAAACACCTCTCAGGTGGCCTGTCTCTGTAAAAGCTGAGCAAACCAACAGGAAGGAGAGGGGGGCAGCCAAGCAGCACAATGATAATGCTCAGAAGAAATCCAGACCAAAAGTTAAACATGCCACTGCCAAACTTCTGCAAGGCTCAAGTGCTGTTTAAAGAGTTCATAAACCAAAGAAAACTCCAAACAGCCCACAGGCCACGATAACCAACATCCAACAGCAAGGCTTCTATGAGTAAAATTCTAATTATAGCCACACACAAAAAAATTCCTTCCAAATCCAGCCAGAACCTTTCCCCCTGTCCCCAGAGACCAGATTTACCCAATCCTGTTTTTAACAACTTTTAAGAAGGCTGCTCCTCCCCAGAGCAGATGCTGGGCAGGAGCATCCCCCCAGAGCCCTGGCACTCAGCAGCCCTGAGGGATGTGCCTGACTGGAAGAGGCTCCAGGAGCAGGGGCTCAGGGGGTTCCACACCCACCCCAGCTCGGGGAGGTTGAAGCAGAGCTGGGCTCTGCTCCTCCAGCTCCTGCAGGAACCTGGGGCTCCTCTGGAGGGGAAGGAAGGAGCAGCTGTTTGCAGCTCCCCATCGTGCTCAGGATTTTCCAGATCTCTTCCACCAGCAGATCTCTCTCCAGCTGGAGGAGTCCTGCTCTGAGTGCTCACCCAGCAGGGTTTGGGGTTTGGGGTGTGGGGTGTGGGTCAGTTCCATCAGCCCAGAGCTGCTGGGCACAGCTGGGAACCTGCTCAGAGCCCAGCAGGGCTCAGGGCAGGGCTGGGAGCAGCCTGGCCAGGGGGAGGTGTCCCAGCAGGAAGGAGCAGCTGTTTGCAGCTCCCCATCGTGCTCAGGATTTTCCAGATCTCTTCCACCAGCAGATTTCTCTCCAGCTGGAGGAGTCCTGCTCTGAGTGCTCACCCAGCAGGGTTTGGGGTTTGGGGTTTGGGGTGTGGGTCAGTTCCATCAGCCCAGAGCTGCTGGGCACAGCTGGGAACCTGCTCAGAGCCCAGCAGGGCTCAGGGCAGGGCTGGGAGCAGCCTGGGCAGGGGGAGGTGTCCCAGGTCCCTTCCCACCCAAACCACCCTGGGATTCCCCCTCAGCAGCTGGGATTGCAGAGGGAGAAGGTGCAGAGAGCCTCAGGGGCAGCAGGACATTCACAGGAGCCTCCAACACCCTCAAAGCAGGGAAATGGTGACACCTGGAACATTCCTACTGGAAAGCAGCCCTCAAGTGCTCCATTTCAAGTGCCCAAGAGCTTAAATTGAAGGAATGGGCTTGGGAAGGCTCCTCAGTCCTGGGCTTGGGATAACCAGGAGCTGGAACATGGAACAAACATCCCTGGAGGAGTCCCAGAAGGCCTGGATGTGGCACCCAGTGCTCTGGGGACAAGGTGGGCACAGCCTGGACTCAGTGGGCTGGGAGGGACTGTCCCACCTTAATGACTCTGGAATTCTGCACAGCTCCAGCTCAGTGTAAAGATCACAAAATCAGAAAAATAAAACCCTTCAGAAGGGAGGAAAGGAAAGGAAAGAGGAAAGGAAAGGAAAATGGGAAAGGAAAGGAAAGGAAAGGAAAGAGGAAAAGGAAAAGGAAAAGGTCCACAAGGGCTGGGACTCCTCGGGGTACTCACATCTGAGCTTGTCCAGGATCTTCCCCCCACACATGGTGGCCAGCATGGCTTTCACTGAGAACACTGTCAGCTTCCCATGGCCCTCACTGCAGGGAAAGAGAGGCACTGTGAGAGCTGCACAGGAGTGGAACAGCACACCCACAAACCATGGGAACAACAGCAGTAACTACCCACAAACCATGGGAACAACCACCCAGAAACCATGGGAACAACAGCAACAACTACCCACAAACCATGGGAATAATAACAGCCCCCCCAAAACCATGGGAACAACAGCAACAGCCACCCAGAAACCATGGGAACAACAGCAACAACTACCCACAAACCATGGGAATAATAACAGCCCCCCCAAAACCATGGGAACAACAGCAACAGCCACCCAGAAACCATGGGAACAACAGCAACAACTACCCACAAACCATGGGAATAATAACAGCCCCCCCAAAACCATGGGAACAACAGCAACAGCCACCCAGAAACCATGGGAACAACAGCAGCCACCATCTCCGGTAACTCCCAGCACTTGAAGGAACTGTAACTAAAGGTGCTGGCCAGGGAATTTGGGCTGGCATGGAAAACACAGAGATGGGGAAAGCACAGGGTGAGTGTGGGGAGAGCTGGAAAAGCAGAAATCTCCTGGGGGCAGTCTCTGAGAGAGCTGAGACAAGGGCCTGGAGGAGCACTGCTGCCCACTCTGGGGGATCAGCCCAGGGCAAAGCTCTCCTGAAATTCCCACCTCCCTGAGGAGCCTCAGCCCCTCCCCTTTTATTCTTTAACAGACAATTATTTTATATCAAAGTTCAGCCTGGGATTAGCTCCCAGAGAGAGCAGGGCCCCAAGCCATCAGTGTCCCCTCCCAGGACACAGCCTGTGCTTGGAGAGCTCTCTCCTGGTGCCCCCAGACCCTGGCCTGCCCCTGACAGTGTTTATAAATCACCCAAACCCCAAATCCTCCCTGCACTCTGGCACTGCAGCAGCCTCTGAGCAGCCTGCCCAGCCCCTGTGCCAGTGCCACTCCATCTGAATTCCACCAGGAGGAAAAAGGCAAAACTTCGGTGTGATCCCAAACCTCCTGTAAGAGATTTAAACCCAGGAATGGAAGCAGAACTGGGGCTGGTTTCACACAATCAGCATCATGAGGTTGGGAGAGACCTCCAAAGTCATGGAGTCCAACCTGTGCCCCAACACCTCAACTCAAATCTAGAACACAGCACTCAGGGCCATGTCCAGCCTTTTTTAAACACAGCAGAGATGCAGATCCCACCACCTCCCTGGGAGGAGCATCCCAGCGCTTTATTACTCTTTCAGTGAATTTTTTTTCCCTAATATCCAACCTACACCTTCCCTGAGGTAGCTGGGACTGTGTCCTGTGGTTCTGTCAGTGCTCCTGGTGGGAGAGACAACCCCAGCTGTGTCCAACCTCCCTTCAGGAATTGTAGAGAGCAACAAGGTCACCTCTGAGCCTCCTCTTCCCCAAAACAACCCCAGCTCCTTCAAACACTCCTCACAGGGTTTGTGTTCCCACGCCTCACCAGCCTTGCTGCCTCCTCTGGCCACATCCAAGCCTCTCAACATCCTTCCCAAACTGAGGGGCCAGAACTGGGCACAGCTGAGGTCAGGCCAGGCCTGTGGGGCTCCTTCCTCACCCTCCCTGTGCTCCCAGCCTGGCTCTGCAGCCTCCACAGCAGGGATGTCCCCTGGATGGGCAGCTCCCACAGCAGGGATGTCCCCTGGCTCTCAGCAGGGATGTCCCCTGGCTCTCAGCAGCTCCCACAGCAGGGATGTCCCCTGGCTCTCAGCAGGGATGTCCCCTGGCTCTCAGCAGGTCCCACAGCAGGGATGTCCCCTGGCTCTCAGCAGGGATGTCCCCTGGCTCTCAGCAGGGATGTCCCCTGGCTCTCAGCAGGGATGTCCCCTGGCTCTCAGCAGGTCCCACAGCAGGGATGTCCCCTGCATCTGCCACTGATGCCAACCCCAGCTCCTCACCCAGCCCAGGCAACTCCCCCTGCCCTGCTGGCCCTGCCAGGGCCACTGCAGTGCCCCAGCTGTGCCAGGGCCCAAATTCCTCCTCAGGGCACCCAGCCAGGCAGAATTCCCAGGAAGGGCACCCCAGGCATTGCCCAGAGCAGCTGGGGCTGCCCTGGATCCCTGGCAGTGCCCAAGGGCAGGGCTGGGAGCAGCCTGGGACAGTGGCAGTGTCCCTGCCATGGCAGGGGTGGCACTGGGTGACTGGTACAGTCCCTTCCCACCCAAACCACTCCAGGACTCTGGGATTGTATCTGCCAAGGGGAATGTCAAAGGTTCTGGTGGTGCCAGCAGCACCCTGTGTGAGGACTCTGTGACTCCGAGCACTCCAGCAGGGATGGGCATTTTTATAAACTCCCTGCCTGCCGTGCTGCTGAGCTCCTGGAGAGGGAGCCTCAGCCCTGCTGTGCTTCATCCGCCTGGGACAGTGGCAGTGTCCCGCCCTGCTGTGCTCTGCTGAGCCTCAGCCCTGCTCTGCTCTGCTTTATCCCTGCTCTGCTCTGCTCCATCCCTGCTGTGCTCTGCCTGAGCCTCAGCCCTGCTGTGCTCTGCTTCATCCCTGCTGTGCTCTGCCTGAGCCTCAGCCCTGCTCTGCTCTGCTGAGCCCCAGCCCTGCTTTGCTCTGCCTGAGCCTCAGCCCTGCTCTGCTCTGCCTGAGCCTCAGCCCTGCTCTGCTCTGCTGAGCCTCAGCCCTGCTGTGCTCTGCTCCATCCCTGCTCTGCTGAGCCTCAGCCCTGCTCTGCTCTGCCCGAGCCTCAGAGAGCCCCCAGGAGTGCCCAGCCCAGCTCAGAGCCCCCAGCAGTGCCCAGCTCAGAGCCCCCAGCAGTGCCCTGCTCAGAGCTCCCAGTAGTGCCCATCCCAGCCCCAGCAGTGCCCACCTCAGCTCAGGCCTCTCCCAGCAGTGCCCAGACCCCCCAGCAGTGCCCATCCCAGCCCCAGCAGTGCCCATCCCAGCCCCAGCAGTGCCCATCCAGCCCCCAGCAGTGCCCACCCCCCCAGCACAGCCCTGCCCCTGCTGCTGCCAGGCTGGCAGGCTGGCAGGGCAGGAGCAGTGCCCATCCCAGCCCTAGCAGTGCCCATCCCAGCCCTAGCAGTGCCCATCCAGCCCCCAGCGTGCCCATCCCAGCCCCCAGCAGTGCCCACCCCCCCAGCACAGCCCTGCCCCTGCTGCTGCCAGGCTGGCAGGCTGGCAGGGCAGGGTGGCACTGGCCTGTCGCAGGCGGCCAGGAGGAAGTTGAGCAGCAGGCTGATGGACTGCTCCACGCTGATCTGGTGGCTGGAGGGCAGGCGCTTGTTCAGCTGGTAGTAGATGGAGGACAGGATGGTCTCCAGGCGGGACACGTTGATCTCGCTGCTGTGCTCCAGGCTGTTCAGGCCGTTGTCTCGGAAGGCTTCGATCATGTTCCAGATATCAACAAGGTGGACTGCAAAACAACAAAAACCCATTCAGTTCTGCTGTGCCAGGCGTGCAGGCCCACTGCTGGCACTGCCCGGGACAGAGGGACAGCCTGAGCTCTGCAGGGGACACAGCAGGGCCCAGGGCTGGCTTGTGCTGCTCCTTTCAACAGCTGGGTGTGTCACAAACAGCTCCTGCAGGAGCACAGCCCTCCCCTGAGCATGCAGGGCTTCAGCCACCAGCCACAGCAACTCCCTGGCAGGGTGGGCAGTCGTGGATCAGGGAATGGTTGGGGTGGGGAGGGTCCTTAAACCCTCCTCTCCTCCTTCTCTTCTCAGCCCTCCTGCTGCCCTCCTCCTCCTCCTCCTCAGCCCTTGTCCTGACCTTTTCCTTCTCCTCCTGCCCCCTCACCCTCCTGCTGGCCTCCTCCTCTCCTCAATCGTTCTCTTGGCCTCCTCCTCCTCCTCAGCCCTCCTGTGGCTCCTCAGCCCTTCTCCTGGCCCCCTCCTCCTCCTCAGCCCTCCTGTGGCCCCTCAGCCCTTCTCCTGGCCCCCTCCTCCTCCTCAGCCCCCAGCAGTTCCTGTGCCTGGGATTGGGGATCTCCTCCCACACATTACCCTGCTGGGCTCTTTGCTGTGTCCAGCTCAGCAGGGGCACAAAGTGCATCCTGCTCACCGGGGATCCACCTGGGATCCACTTGGAATCCACCTGGGATCCACCTGGGATCCACCTGGAATCCACCAGGGATCGACCTGGAATCCACCAGGGATCGACCTGGAATCCACCTGGGATCCACCTGGGATCCATCTGGGATCACTTGGGATCCACCTGGGATTCACTTGGGATCCACCTGGGATCCACCTGGGATCCACCTGGGATCCACCTGGGATCCACCTGGGATCACTTGGGATCCACCTGGGATCACCTGGGATCCACCTGGGATCCACCTGGGATTCACCTGGGAACCACCTGGGATCCTGCTGGCCTCCCCCTCTTCCTCCTCAGCCCTTCTCCTAGCCTCCCCCTCTTCAGCCCTTCTCCTGACCCCTCCTCTTCCTCCTCAGCCCTTTTGCTGGCCTCCTTCTCTTCCTCCTCAGCCCTTCTCCTGGCCTCCTCCTCATCCTCCTTCTCTTCTCAGCCCTCCTGCTGCCCTCCTCCTCCTCCTCCTCAGCCCTTGTCCTGACCTTTTCCTTCTCCTCCTGCCCCCTCACCCTCCCGCTGGCCCCCTCCTGCTGGCCTCCTCCTCCTCCTCCTCAGCCCTCCTGTGGCTCCTCAGCCCTTCTCCTGGCCCCCTCCTCCTCCTCAGCCCTCCTGTGGCCCCTCAGCCCTTCTCCTGGCCCCCTCCTCCTCCTCCTCCTCCTCCTCAGCCCCCAGCAGTTCCTGTGCCTGGGATTGGGGATCTCCTCCCACACATTACCCTGCTGGGCTCTTTGCTGTGTCCAGCTCAGCAGGGGCACAAAGTGCATCCTGCTCACCAGGGAACCACCTGGGATCCACCTGGGGTCACTTGGGATCCACCTGGGATCCACCTGGGATCCACCTGGAATCCACCAGGGATCGACCTGGGATCACTTGGGATCACCAGGGATCCACCTGGGATCCACCTGGGGTCACTTGGGATCCACCTGGGATCCCCCTGGGATCCACCTGGGATCCACTTGGGATCCACCATGGATCGACCTGGGATCACTTGGGATCACCAGGGATTCACCTGGGATTCACCAGGGATCCACCTGGGATCACTTGGGATCACCTGGGATCACCAGGAATCCACCAGGTATTCACCTGGGCTCCACCTGGGATCCACCCAGGATTCACCTGGGATTCACACGGGATCACCCGGGATTCACCTGGGATCCACCTGGGATCACTTGGTATCCACCTGGGATTCACCTGGGATCCACCTGGGATCCACCTGGGATCACCAGGTATTCACCTGGGATTCACCTGGGATTCACCTGGGATCACCAGGGATCCACCTGGGCTCCACCTGGGCTCCACCTGGGATCACCTGGGATCCACCCAGGATTCACCTGGGATCCCCCTGGGATCACCTGGGATTCACCCAGGATCCACCTGAGATCCACCTGGGATTCACTTGGGATCACCAGGGATTCACCCGGGATCCACCTGGGATCACCTGGGACCCACCTGGGATCCACCTGGGATCCACCTGGGATTGACCTGGGATCACCTGGGATCCACCTGGGACCCACCCAGGATTCATCTGGGACCCACCCAGGATTCACTGGGATCCCCCTGGGATCACCTGGGATCCCCTGGGAGCTGCCCAAGGTCAGAGCCCACGGCAGAGCAGGGCAGAACCTGCCCTGCCCAGAGCTCTCCATGGTCACCGATGTCACACGTGTCCCCACAGGGACAGCTGCAGGCAGGGGCTGTCCCTGTGCTCACTGGGGGCTGCTCTGGGAGGAAAACAGCCCCTCACAGAGCTTGAGCCCACCTACACCCAGCTCCGAGGGCAACAAAACACCACAGCTCCCTCAGACTTCCCATCTCTGAACATTAAAGAACGAGCGTGAGGACAGGACAGAGCACGGGCAAGGCTCGCTGCCTCTCTGATCCCACACCCATTCTGTGTCAGATCTGTTAATCACAGCTGGGCAGGGCTCCCCTGCACGCCAGGGGCAGCTGTGCAGCAGCCATGCAGCAGCCATGCAGCAGGGGAGGAGGGGCTGGCAGCACTCACGGTTGCACCTCTTCTGCACGAAGCGCAGCTTGCAGGCGGTTCTGTACGTGGACAGGCGGATCACGTCGAAGTTCTGGGCTCCTGCAAGAAACCAGAGCTGGGGCTGTGCTTCCTTCAGCACAGCCTCTGAAATCCTGCTCTGGGCTGTGCTTCCCTCTGAATTCCTGCTCTGGGGCTGTGCTTCCCCCTGCACACTCTGAATTCCTGCTCTGGGGCTGTGCTTCCCCCTGCACACCCCCTGCCCCTGCTGGTGCTGAGAGCAGCACCTGAGAAAAGGCTCCAATGTCTGCTCACACACACCCCAGCCCTGGCACACTCGGGGGGTCTGCCCTGTGCCCAGGTGAGAGCCCACCTGCAGAGCTGCCCCAGCCCTGGGCATTCCAGCAGCACAAGGACCTGGAGCTGCTGCACAGAGCCCAGAGGAGGCCCCAGAGCTGCTGCAGGGCTGGAGCCAGGCTGGCAGAGCTGGGGGGGCTCACCTGGAGAGGAGAAGGATCCAGGCAGAGCTCAGAGCCCCTGGCAGGGCCTGGAGGGGCTCCAGGAGAGCTGCAGAGGGACTGGGGACAAGGCTGGAGGGACAGGAGCCAGGGAATGGCTCCCAGTGCCAGAGGGCAGGGCTGGGTGGGGATTGGGAATGAGGAATTGTTCCCTGGCAGGGTGGGCAGGGCTGGCACAGCTGGGGCTGCCCCTGGATCCCTGGCAGTGCCAAGGCCAGGCTGGGCACTGGGACACCCTGGGACAGTGGCAGTGCCCCTGCCATGCAGGGGTGGGATGGGGTTGGATTTAAGGCCCTTTCCCACCCAGACCATTCCATAACAGTGCCACTCTGGAAACAAACCAGTATAAACACGTGGTTTGAAGGCAGAGCTCCCTCGGTGTGTAGCTGGAATTCAGGACATGCTGGCCCAACCCAGAATTCCCTTTTCCCTGATTCCTGCAGGACAGCAGGACAATGTGATGCCATGCAAACACCAATTCTTAACCCTTCTTTTCCAGACAATCCTACACAAATCAGCCCCCAAACCATGTCTCGGGTCACACCAGCATCACAGGGCCATTTTTTATCTCTTTTTAAGGCCAAAGGTGCTCTGTCTGCTGCCACTATTCCCTGAAATAGTTCTCCACAATCCTTAGGCACAGATGAGAGATGTGAGCATTCCCTAAGGAGGAGCTTCCCAAAACCCAGGGATAAATGACCTTCCCAGGCAGCTGTGACCCCCCTTGGGCATTCTGCTCCTGAGCAGCCCCCAGGAGCACCTGGGGGGTTCTCCCTGCATGGGCTGGGGACAGGATGGGGCTGATATGCTGCAGCTGTCCCAGGGAAGCTCCCAGTGAAGAATCAGTGACATCGTGTCTCCCATTTCCTACTTACTCATCTCCATGAAGAGCTGCCTCTTCTCTGCCATGGTCCTCCTCCTCTTCCCACTCTCCTCAATCATTCTGCAGACAGAAATGGCAAACACTGCTTGTGTGAGAACTGTGCAGCAGAGCAGCTCGCTGTGAGCAGGACCTGTCCCCCAGTGGGAGCAGTCTGATTCCGTGGGGGATTCCAGGACAGACAGACACCTCTCATCCTGATCCCCCTCCACACACACCCCCCAGCCTTGCTAGCACCTCCCAAGGCACAGGAATCATTAATTCAGCATTCCAGGGGCTCTGGTTTGAAAAGCCCAGAGCTGCACTGACACACGCAGAAATATCCCATAAAGAATTCCTCTGAGTTCTGAGCCAGAAAAGGGAGGTGCTGCAGTCCCAGCAGAGGTTGGGGACCCCCTTCCCTGCAGCATCACAGAATCCCTCAGCTTGGAAAAGGATTTGTGGGATGTTGGGTTTGGGGAATGCTGGCTTTAAACAAAACTTGTTAAATTCATTTAACTTTGAGCCCTGACACCTGAGGTCACCTGGGATTTGTCAGGGAATTCAAACTAATTAAGTGGGAAATAAAAACAGCTTGGTGCAGAGGGCTCCCTTTCCTGAAAAAAACAGATTAAAAGGTGACAGCAGCAGGGAGCAGCTTGTACCCCAAGGGAAGGGGGCACAGGGACAATTCAGCAGCTCTCAGGGCTTATTTCACTACACAGTCCTAAAAGAGGCCAAATTTCAGTACACTGCAGAAAAAAAAGGAAAGTTAATTCAGCATCAGTGTAAAATTTAATTTATAATTCAACTAATTATTACATTATTCTTTGGTTACCAAATTCAACAACTTAAAAACCATTAAATATAGGTTTTATGTGTCTAACCCCAAAAATATCCCAAACAAATCTCCTACCATTAAATACAGGTTTTATGTGTCTAACCCCCCAAAAAATCCCAAACAAATCTACCATTAAATATAGGTTTTATGTGTCTAACACCCAAAAATCCCAAACAAATCTCCTACCATTAAATATAGGTTTTATGTGTCTAACCCCCCAAAAAATCCCAAACAAATCCACCATTAAATATAGCCTTTATGTGCCTAACCCCCCAAAAAATCCCAAACAAATCTCCTACCATTAAATATGGGTTATATCTGACAGTCACACTGAGGGCAGCTAAGTGCCACCTGGGTGCCCTCTGCAAGGAAAAGAAGCGACTGATCTTGGGCAAGCTGGCCTTGAAATGAGACCTGAAAGAGATCTGCTCTGTCCAAATGACCCCGAATGAGGGATCTGCTCTCTCCATGATCCCAGAACCCTCCAGTAGGAAAATCCCTCCCAGCCCATCCAGTCCAGCTGTGCCCAATGCCCCCCTTGTCCCCTGAGTGCCACATCCAGACATTCCTTGGACACCTGCAGGGATGGGCACTCCAACCCTCCCTGGGCAGCCCCTGCCAAGGCCTGAGCACCCTTTCCATGGGCAAATTCCTCCTGGTGCCCACCCTGAGCCTGCCCTGGCCCAGCCTGAGGCCATTTCCCCTGTCCTGTCCCTGTCCCCTGGCAGCAGAGCCCAGCTCCCACATTACTGCCAGGGAAAGTGCTGGAAATGAGAAGAATTGACAAACCTGTTTTTAGTCCCTGAACCACCAGACTCAGAAGGATCCCTCGGTGATGAGGCTGGGAGGAAGGAAGATGGGGAGCCTTCCTCAAGTTCAAAACAGGAATGAACCAAACCCACAAGAACTGCAGCTATGTTTGGGATGCAAATGACAGAGCTCAGCTCCCAAAACAGGGAAGGGAAAAGCAGCTTGGCCTGAGCTGGTTTGGTTTGTTGGGTTGGGCTCTTTGAAGGGGTGGGGAGGCTGGGTTTGGGGTTTGGTGGGGATTTCTTTGCGTGGGTTTTGTTTGTTTGTTTGCTGGTTCCTTGCTTTTTAAAAAATTGCAGCAAAATCCATGAGCAAAGTGCCAGGAAACACAACAGGGGCTGGAATGATGTGGCAGCCAGGAATTCCTGAGGTGCCTGCTCCCATTCCATGGGCACACGGAGGGATCCACTCCACTACAGAATGCCAGGATGGGTGGGAAGGGACCTCAGAGCCCCCCCAGTGCCACCCTGCAGGGCAGGGACACTGCCACTGTCCCAGGCAGCTCCCAGTGTCCAGCCTGGCCTTGGGCACTGCCAGGCATAGGAAGCTGAGTTATTTGGAAATCCTTATTGAAAAGCAATGTTCAGCTAAAAGCAGCAAATGATGCAGTAGCTTAGAAACCTGCAGCTGAGTGTGTGTGATGTAAACTTCCCAAATGGCATCATTTCCCTTATTCCTTTCACCTTCTTCCCTTTCACAGGTACAACACTTGCATGGCCTCAGGAGCAGCCAGCTTAAAAATCCCACACAATTACTGGGGGAAATTCTACACTCAGCCACCATCCAAAATACCTTTAATAAACTCACATTTTTCTTGCTGCACTTGTTTGACACCTTTTTTTCTGTCCCAAAACAGGGAGAGAACAGGGAGAGCTCCTGCTCTGTGCCAGGGCTGCTGCTGTCAGGGCTCTGTCCCAGCACAGGAGGTGAGATTGGCACCCCCCTGGCTGCGTCCCCTGGCTGTGCCCCCCAGGTGTCACCTGGCTGTGCCCCGCAGGTGCCCCCAGGCTGTGTCCCCAGGCTGTGCCCCGCAGGTACTCCCAGGCTGTGCCCCGCAGGTGCCCCCAGGCTGTGCCCCGCAGGTGCCCCCAGGCTGTGCCCCCAGGCTGTGCCCCCCTGGCTGTGCCCTGCAGGTGCCCCCCAGCTGTGCCCCACAGGTGCCCCCAGGCTCAGGCCAATACTACAGGACCTTGCTTAGCAGGTTTCGCTCTTCTTGGAGCTCATCAGCTGTAGGTAACGGCCCAAGGACAGCTGGACAGGCTGCTCTGTGCTCAGGAACCAGCCCTGAGCCACAGGACAATCACAGAGTCACTGAATCCCACACAGTCCCCAGGTTGGGAGAGCCCTCCAAGCCCATCGAGTCCAGCCCAGCCCCAAGAGCTCAGCTCAGCCCTGGCCCCCAGTGCCACATCCAGGCTTTGTTAAACACCCCCAGGGATGGGGACTGCAGCACCTCCCCGGGCAGAGCATTCCAGAACTTCATCACCTTGCTGGAAAAACCTTTTTCCTGAGATCCAGCCTGAATTTCCCTGGTGCAGCTGGAGGCTGTGTGCTCTGGTTCTGTCAGTGCCTGGAGAAAGAGCCCAGCCCAGCTGAGCACAGCCACCTTTCAGGGGGTTACAGTTTGTTTTTGTAGCTGTAGTTGTTTTGCTTCAAGTTAATTTTGTTTCATTCTGTACTTCCACCTCTAAGGAACGCTCCAAAAGAGATTCTGACCTTTAGGGTTTGATAACCATTTGCAGCCACTGGTTTGCACTGAGCTGCAGCCTCACTGGCCAAAGCAGGAACAGAGAAAGAAAAGTTCATTTAGCAATTATTAAATCTGACTTTGTTCACATTCCTGGCATTGCATGTCATTAGCAGAAATAATATTTGATGTCACTGATTAAACTGCAGTTGCTGCATGAAGATAAAATTGTGCCCATACCTATTTATGGTCAAAAATAACTTGTAAAATAAAAAACTTTAAAAATAACTTAAAATTAATCCAAAATGCAGTCTGGGGCATGGGCTGTTCTGATCTGTGCTTGGCACAGGGAAGGAGGTTCAGTGACTTTCTGCAGTTTTTCTGATCAGAAGTACAACTAGTTCTGCTGTTTCAAGGAAAAGCTTTCCTCCCTTGTCAGTTCATTCACTCTTAAAAATGCAACTTTAATAAATAACATAACTGGGATGAAGATCTTGAATACAAATTGAGGGCATACCTGTGCTGGCAGAAAAAGTTACTGGTGCCCATCTGCTCTGGCACTTCCTTGCTCTGGGCTTCTGAACTCCTCTGCCTTCAACTGACTTTTGACTGAAACCATCTAAAATCATTTCTGAACTCTCATAAATGTTTTGTTAAAGTATAAAATTAAACTCACTTATGATATAAAGTTGTTTATATTTGTTCATCTCAGCTTTCAATAAAAACATGAAGTATTTTTCCTTTTCTTTCCTAATTTGAACAATGAGTGATTTGATCCCCTCCTCTCCCTCTATCCAAAATATCTGATGCTCTTACTCATGTCTTTGCTCTCCTGGTTCATATTCCCAGTCCCTTTCCTCAGCAGTCCAACATAATTCATCAGAAATACTCCTTTGTGCCCCTGTGGCATTTCCCAGGAAGAGGAGTGACCTGGAAGTGATCTCAGGGGGACACATCTGACCCCTGGAAAAGACAAACCTTCCATACTTATTCACAACACCTTTTAAAGCAAATTTAACCACTTCTGACAAGTCTTCTCATTTATCTTTAACATTTTCAACTCTGTTCCCATCAATTATAGGATAAGTAACTGAAGCAAAAGCAACTGTGCCCCAAAGTATGAAAAGTACCCTAAAATGTCATTTCTGCATCTCCAGCAAGCACAGGAGCAGCTCTGGGACCACCTCACACCTTCCAGCAGCAGCTGCCCCACAACCCAAAGCTTTGGATCTCTCACTGATGTTTTCATGTGTGCTGGACTCAGATGATTGTGCAAGATCTTTACAAACAAAAATTGGCTCCAGCCTCGGAGGGTGTAAGGAAAAACCCACTTGGCTAGGAGCCAGGAAAGGAACTGCAACTTCCCAGGGATCACAGCTCTGCAGTGAAATTCTAAACAAGTCAATGGCTCCTTTTTTTCCCTCCATAAATCCAGTGGATCCAAAGCTGCTCTGGAAAATTCTGCAAAAACCTGCCCATTAAAAGCTTCATGAAAAATGAACAGTAGCTTAGGAAAAAACCAGTATTGAAACCTAAAGCTTTCCCTGGTGCATGCCTTGCCATTCTGCTGGAGCTGTGAGGCTCTTCCAGGGCACAAGAAGCCATCTGGTTTGTGCAGGCAGGACACAGCACGTGGCAGCACAGCCCCACAGAGCCCTCAGTTACTGGGCTGGGAAGTCCCTGATGGCCAGGGACACTGGGCTGGGGACAAGGTGGGCACTGGGCACAGGCTGGACTAAGAAGACTTTCACAACTGAAATCATTCTGTCATTCCAGGAAAAACCCTTGGGCTAAGCCCCAGGGTGAGCCCAACAACCCCACCTGGTCAGAAACTGCTAAAGATTGTACTGGACTCAAGTTCAACAAAGATGGAACAAGTCACAATATTTAAATCAGGTTTCTTTGAAAGCCTTCCAAAATTTTTATCACAGGTTCCCTCCAGAGAGAGAACAAACTCAAATCCAGGAGAGCTCCAAGCCACCTGAATTTCTGTGACTTCACATCTGTAAGTGTCAGCTGAGAGTCCAGAAGAGAGACAAGTCCCAGCCCTGAGGAACTTAGAGGTCAGGGTAAGAATGGTCAGGGTGGCAGTGGCACTGAGGCCCCAGCAGGTCAGGGTGGCAGTGGCACTGAGGCCCCAGCAGGTCAGGGGAGGGTGGCAGTGGCACTGAGGCCCCAGCAGGCCAGGGGAGGGTGGCAGTGGCACTGAGGCCCCAGCAGGTCAGGGTGGCAGTGGCACTGAGGCCCCAGCAGGTCAGGGTAATCACAGTGAGGGTGGCAGTGACACTGAGGCCCCAGCAGGTCAGGAGAGGGTGGCAGTGGCACTGAGGCCCCAGAAGATCAGGGTAAGAACACTGATGGTGACAGTGGCACTGAGGCCCCAGCAGGTCAGGGGAGGGTGGCAGTGGCACTGAGGCCCCAGCAGGTCAGGGTGGCAGTGACACTGAGGCCCCAGCAGGTCAGGGTAAGCACAGTGAGGGTGGCAGTGGCACTGAGGCCCCAGCAGGCCAGGGGAGGCTGGCAGTGGCACCGAGGCCCCAGCAGGCCAGGGGAGGCTGGCAGTGGCACCGAGGCCCAGCCCCGCTGCCAGGGTGCCATGTGAAGCTCCCAGCTCTCCGTGCCCATTCCCATGCCCAGGGGCTGTGCAGCTCTGCAGGCAGCCCTGAGGGCTGAGCACAGATTGTCCTGGCACAGCTCTGACCTCCAGCACACAGCCAGGGCGCGGGGCAGGCAGTGCCACCCCCCAAAGCACAGCCAAACCCTCATCTTGCCTCACTGCCCCAAGGCCTGAGGGGCAGAAATGGCTTTTTACAACCTGCCCATGGGATTTACCACGAGCCTGCAAACAAGAGCCAATCCAGCAGCTGCAAGTGCTTCCTTGAAATGAAGCAGTGCTCCTGTTGGGTACAAAAATGAAACGTTACAGGAGGATTTCTGAGCAGGAAGAAGTTGGATACAGTCTAATTAAGAGCTCACCACTCCCTGTCAGGAAGGGAAGAGTCCTTTTTGTGGAGGGGATTTCTGAGCACTCCGTGCTTCCAGGAGAACCTGGCAAAGCCTCCCCTCTCCATGGTACCCCAGAGGCCCCAGCACTGCTTGCAGAGCACAGGAGATGACTCTGCAGCAATATTCATTATCAGGAGGGGTTCTGAGCTGCATTCCTGCCCTTTCCCCACCACCCCAGACTGGGAGATGGAGCAGGAGCAGGTCCCACACACCTGCAGCTCAGAGCTCTGCCAGAGCTCCCTGGCACACCTGGGCAGGAGGGAAATTCCCGTGAGGAACACCTCAAACAGGAACTGCTTTCCCCCATCACAGCTCACTTCAGGATAAAACAGCTTGCCCAGGTTTAATTCATTCATTTCACCTCCTACATTTAACTTACGATGTGAAATCTTCCTCATCATCTTCACAGGTCTAAACTAAAATAATTCTAGGTTTGTGAAGTGTTAGATATTACTGAGAGGCTCCAGGAGTACAGAACATTAATCTGCATTTAAAAGCCTCTGTGCCACTGCCCCAGGCAATGGGAACTGAACACCCACACAGGCCTGATAACTTGAACTCTGTCTGAGCTGCCAGACACACACACCTGCTCCAAAAGCCTGCCTGCACCACCCTGCTCCTCACTGCTCCAGCTGTGCTCACACAGGGCTTGCTTTCCCCAAGAACAACACCAGCCTGAAGTGGAAGTCCAACTGATGGCATTTCCATTGCCTGCTGTAAAACTAAGAGTTTTTGTCCCTTAGTTTTGTCACTTTCTGTTTAAAAAAAGAAATAAAAATTTAAGTTAGGGTCGTAGTTCCCTCCCTGTTTGCTCTTTACCTCTTAAATCACAGAACCACTGAGGCTCTCATTCAACCCAGACCAATGAGTCCAACCTCTGACCTAAATAAAGTTAAAAGTTGCACTGGCAAAGACTGAAAATGCCCCACCTTGCAGTCAGTCAGTAGCTACTTAAGTTACTATGATTTTTAAGCACAGCACATCCTTTAGACATCCAACTCTTTTAAAATTTAGTGATGAATTGGCACCTGCTGTCATAATTCTATTTGTTTCCACCTGGCCAAATATAATGTGGAATTTTAAGGTCTCCTACTGTTTCTTCCAGATCTAGGCTGCCTAAAACTCTTCATTACATAACTTTTTTTAATAAATCTGTATTATTTAAGCACAGCTGAGAAGTTAAAATAGTTCAGTCCTTAAAGCCCACAGGACAGGGAAAGGCCCATGAAACTATTTCAATTTAGGTTCATCAACAGAAATCTGTTTCAACACTAAACCAGAGACAACAAAATCATAGTTTCTTCTCCCTGGTACCAAGGGGAAAACAATTAACATCATAAAAATATGATAAATTCAAATCCTTATCACCTGAATCACCTCATCTGAACCCCTCTTTAGGCTCTGTGAAGCTGTCCCAGAGCAGCCCACACAGGCAGGCTGAGCGTGGAGCTCAGGGGGGCTCAGGCACCAAGCCAGGCCCAAAGCCTGGCTTTAAAGTTCCAGATGTGCTTCCTTCCCTCTTCAAAAACTGTCCCAGCTTCCACAAGACACAGCTGAACACATCCACCTTGGTTTAGAGAACTGAGAACATCCACCTGGGCTTAAAGGGCTGAGCACATCCACCCGGGTTTAAAGGGCTCCTCACTCAGAACATCCACCTTGGCTGAAAGAACTGAGAATATCCACCCTGGTTTAAAGGGCTGCACAGCTGAACACATCCACCTTGGTTTAGAGAACTGAGAACATCCACCTGGGTTTAAAGAACTCAGAACATCCACCTGGGTTTAAAGGGCTCCTCACTCAGAACATCCACCTGGGTTTAAAGAGCTCATAACTCAGAACATCCACCTGGGTTTAAAGAACTGAGAACATGCACCTTGGTTTAAAGGGCTGCCCAACTGAGAACACCCTCCCAGGGCTGCCCAGGACTCACTCCCACCTCACCCGTGCTCTGTCTGATGTAGCTGAACTCCTGGGAAAGTGCTGCTTTTCTCTTGCTGCAAAAGCCCTTTTCCCTGCATTATGGCTCCTTCCTAAATCCCTCCACCACCCAGCACTGCCTAAAACATGTATTGCTCTTGGCTCCTGGGATGAACCAGAGCCCTGGCTGCACCAGCTGCACACCACAGCCAACAAAAAAACCCCATTTACTGTTCCAAACTCCCTGCATTATGGCTCCTTCCTAAATCCCTCCACCACCCAGCACTGCCTAAAACATGTATTGCTCTTGGCTCCTGGGATGAACCAGAGCCCTGGCTGCATCAGCTGCACCACAGCCAACAAAAAAACCCATTTACTGTTCCAAAAACCCCAGAGGCAGGAGTGTGGGACAATGCTGGCAGTGCTGCTGCGTTCACCACCCCAGGAGCTGAACAATGAGGGTGTCCCACAGAGCTCACGGGAGGTGCTGCCTGTGTCCCTTAAACACAGGATTCTGGAACTGTCAGGGCAACGCTGGCAGCCCAGCCTGGCAGCTGCTCCCTTGGCATGGCTGCTCGGAGGGGAAGGGACCTTAAGGCTCAGCCAGTGCCACCCTGGCTCCCTGGCAGTGCCAAGGCCAGGCTGGGGCTTGGAGCACCCTGGGACAGGGGAAAGTGTCCCTGCCATGGCAGGGGATGGAATTCAATGTTGTTGAAAGTTCTTTCCCACCCAAAGCATTCCGTAATTCTATGATTCACCTTCCCCAGACGAGGGATGTGTTGCACAACAAACAAAATTCTGGAGGAATTTTCAACAGAGGAGTCCATCTTTTTATGTGATTCCTTATTTCCACATGTCCAACACATAACAGAAAATGCAGGAGTCACTGCTTCAGGACACAAGTTTTTGATAAGTGAAAAATGTCAGTATCAGTGTTGGGAGTGTCAGAAACAGGCAAGTGAACACAGAAAACAGGAGATTTTAATGTCAGCACCACAGTCAAGCCCAGCAGATCCCGTTACCTGAATCACACTGAGAAGTCTCTCGGGGCAACTTCCACTTTCCTGGGCTCACTTCCTTCTTCAGACATTTAACCACAACCTGAGGAGAGGGGGATAACAGCAAGTGAGCTTTTCCTGCAAGAAAGCAGCGGCTTTGCACAGAAAAATAGCAGTGATTTATTTCACAGCCCAAAAGGGCGCTGCTTCTGCCCTGCCTGCTGTTCCTGTTAACTCCACAGCAATGCAGCCTGCACATCCCGGGCTGTGTTAACTCCACAGCAATGCAGCCTGCACATCCCGGGCTGTGTTAACTCCACAGCAATGCAGCCTGCACATCCCGGGCTGTGTTAACTCCACAGCAATGCAGCCTGCACATCCCGGGCTGTGTTAACTCCACAGCAATGCAGCCTGCACATCCCGGGCTGTGTTAACTCCACAGCAATGCAGCCTGCACATCCCGGGCTGTGTTAACTCCACAGCAATGCAGCCTGCACATCCCGGGCTGTGTTAACTCCACAGCAATGCAGCCTGCACATCCCGGGCTGTGTTAACTCCACAGCAATGCAGCCTGCACATCCCGGGCTGTGTTAACTCCACAGCAATGCAGCCTGCACATCCCGGGCTGTGTTAACTCCACAGCAATGCAGCCTGCACATCCCGGGCTGTGTTAACTCCACAGCAATGCAGCCTGCACATCCCGGGCTGTGTTAACTCCACAGCAATGCAGCCTGCACATCCCGGGCTGTGTTAACTCCACAGCAATGCAGCCTGCACATCCCGGGCTGTGTTAACTCCACAGCAATGCAGCCTGCACATCCCGGGCTGTGTTAACTCCACAGCAATGCAGCCTGCACATCCCGGGCTGTGTTAACTCCACAGCAATGCAGCCTGCACATCCCGGGCTGTGTTAACTCCACAGCAATGCAGCCTGCACATCCCGGGCTGTGTTAACTCCACAGCAATGCAGCCTGCACATCCCGGGCTGTGTTAACTCCACAGCAATGCAGCCTGCACATCCCGGGCTGTGTTAACTCCACAGCAATGCAGCCTGCACATCCCGGGCTGTGTTAACTCCACAGCAATGCAGCCTGCACATCCCGGGCTGTGTTAACTCCACAGCAATGCAGCCTGCACATCCCGGGCTGTGTTAACTCCACAGCAATGCAGCCTGCACATCCCGGGCTGTGTTAACTCCACAGCAATGCAGCCTGCACATCCCGGGCTGTGTTAACTCCACAGCAATGCAGCCTGCACATCCCGGGCTGTGTTAACTCCACAGCAATGCAGCCTGCACATCCCGGGCTGTGTTAACTCCACAGCAATGCAGCCTGCACATCCCGGGCTGTGTTAACTCCACAGCAATGCAGCCTGCACATCCCGGGCTGTGTTAACTCCACAGCAATGCAGCCTGCACATCCCGGGCTGTGTTAACTCCACAGCAATGCAGCCTGCACATCCCGGGCTGTGTTAACTCCACAGCAATGCAGCCTGCACATCCCGGGCTGTGTTAACTCCACAGCAATGCAGCCTGCACATCCCGGGCTGTGTTAACTCCACAGCAATGCAGCCTGCACATCCCGGGCTGTGTTAACTCCACAGCAGTGCAGCCTGCACCTCCCGTGTGTCCCTTTAACTCCACAGCATTGCAGCCCGCACATCCCGGCTGCCTGCCAGCAGCCGTTCCGCGGCCGGGAGGAACACCGCGGCACGGCCAAACCAGCGGCCGCCCGCCCCCAGCCCTGTGACCGGGCCCCGCTGGGCTCTCTCCCGCCCGGGCCCGGCGGCCCCGCCGCTGTCCCCCGTACCTGGGCCGGTGCTCCCGGGGCTCCAGGGGCGGCCGGGCCGCCTCAGCCGCCGCCG